TAATTGCCATTCTTACCAAGTGGGACAAGGGGCATCTTTCACCTTGCCGTATTGTATATTGTTTGGATGTTACTGTTCAGAAAGTTTTGCTGTTCGAGACAAGGTCTCCCTTTGTAATTCAGGCTGGCCTTGAACTCACTGAGATCCTCCTGCTTCAGCCTCCAGAGTGCTGTTATTACAGGCACCGGCCACCATACCTGATTCGGGGAGCTTACTGTAATATTCTTGCAGGTTTTTTTTTTTTTTTAATAGCTTTGAACATTTTTCAGAACAAGCCTGTTTTTCAAAATAACCCTTGTCACTCTGCCTCATCCCCAGTCCAAAGAGATCTACTTTAGAAAATCTTGATGACTACCCCACAGGTAGCCAGGGCATCGCTCCCTGGTCCAGAGCTTCCCCGGTGTGGGCAGGAGCCTGTCTTCCACCTCAGCTCTGCCTGTCAGTAAAAAAGCAAGCGCACACCACCACGAGGACCACACACAGAGAAGTGCCGGCATGCTCTGCGGCTTTATTACATTCTTTTACCTTCTAGAAAAGATTACAAAAAAGAATACTTGGTTTATGTGTAATACTGTCTATGGATGTACCGTGGTTGGAAGGTGCCATGAAAGCTTGTGGATAATATAGAGGGGAGAGAAGGCACAGAAGTCTGTCCCCTGCGGGTCCCCGTAGGTCTGGACAGCAGGAATGGTAGAAACCAGGCAGAGCGGGGTCACACACTCCTGGGCCAGAGCCGCTTCTAGGAGCTTAAAATAAAACGCACCTGCTGGCTTTAGGGTTGGACCTGAAGGTACACAGCTCTTGTACCACTTTTCAAAGTTGCTCCCTCCCATCACACACCAGCAGCTATCCCCAGTTGTCTGAGTTTTTGTTTTTTTTTCTGAGATAGGGTCTTACTCTGTAGCCTAGGATGGCATCAAACTCCTGGAGATCCTCTTGCCTCAGCCTCTTGGGGGGTTGTTTTCTAATTCACTCACTCACACACACACACAGTCTATCCAGCCATCCTGATTGTTCTGTTGAGCCTCCAGGTCTTTTTCTCTTTGGTATATCCCTTCAATTTAAAAAAAAAAAAAAAAAAAAAAAAAAAGGTGTAACTATGGCACTTAGGAGGCTGAGGCAGGAAAATTTCCTCGAGTTCAAAGCCAGAATGTCTAAAAAAAAGCCAGCCAGACCACATCCAGCCAAGAAGCCTACTTCTCTAGGACAGAAGCCAGCGCTCTGCTTTATTCAATGGACCTGTGACCTCCTGGGGCTTAACGCCGTCCCGCCAAGGTTTGCCTTCCAAGTCCCGCAAGACCAGCTAAGAGTCTGACAAGAAAGGCAGGACGCGGGCTTGGAAGGGAACTTTTTCCCGCCGCAAGGCACAGGACAGGCCCGGAGCCCTTTTTCCTTTTGCTTCCGTACCAGGAACAGGAAGGCAAAGCATGGCAAGATTCTGAGGACAAAAACAGGCCAAGAAGAGGAAGGAAGGAGGGAGGGAGGGGGTGACGGAGGGACAGACACAGAGAGAGAAAAAAAAGAAAACCAGCCGGCCCTTGTTTGGCTTCCCCAAAGCCCTGTCTCTTTAAGTCTGGCCCGGGGCGGCCAACTTTTAATTGTGCACACATGGGAGCTTTGGAGCTCGCCCTGCGCTCGGCCAACACGCACAGACCCTGTTTTCCTTCCTGGAAGAGAGAGGTTCTGGAGCCCTGGGGAGGAGAGACAGCCCGGTTACTAGGGTTCCGGACCCTGGAGGCAGCAGCCACTCAGAACTGGTCCTTTTCTTTGGTCTCTGGGACTGAAGGATTTTCTAGGAAAATTAACATTTGCCAGGGCCTCCGAGGGGAGAGGACGGGTTTCTGAGTCATTCCTCCTTGTGCACTGGTGACGTCCACGTCACAGAGCTACTGAGACCACAGCGGTGGGACCCTGAGCCCCACAGCCCTACCCTCCCAGTTTGGAGGGGTTGACGCTAGCAATAATGGCAAGAAGATAGCCGGGTGAGGTGGTGCGCTACTGTCATCCCAGCAGTCCGGAGGCTGAGGCAGGAGGATCTCTTGAGAGTTCGAGGTCAGCCTGGGCTACACAGAGAATTCAAGGCCAGCCTGAACTACAAAGTGAGACCCTATCTCAAAAAACCCCACAAAAGACAAGGAAGGACCGAGCTTTCTGCCCTGCGTGACAATGCAAGAGACATACAACTGTTTTGTAAAAGGACCACGGCTGAGAGACGTCCCCAGAGAGCTGTCTGGGGTGTTGGGGGAGGGAGTGAAGAAAACGGTATCAAATATCAGAGGAGGGGAGGCGAGGGGCGGAGCCGCGGGCTCCTGCGCGCACCGCACTGGCGTGGAGGAAAACCCACCACGACGGAGACTTTCAGATTTGGCCTCGGGGGCCGGGGCTCTGCCCTCCTCAACGATGATTCAAGAATATCCTCTCCCCGCCCCTGCCCCGGCCCACACCGCCCAACAGCCGCTGCCAGCGCGGACGGGAATTCAGCTCGGCCTGCGCGGCCGCGGCTCCCACCGGGTCCTGGAAGGAAAGCGGCTCCGCGCTGGGGCGGCCGGCGGCCGGGTCCCCAGGGAGGCAGAGCAGACAACGGGGGCCTCGGGGAGCAGCAGCGGGCCCGAGAGGAGGGGACAGGGACGGGCCGGCACGGTTCGCTGCGGGGCTGGTGGCCGCAGAGGCCGCTGGCTCCTCCTCGTCACTCGTCCGCCGAGGACGACGCGGGACTCTCGTCGTCCGACATCGGGGCGAACTGAAAGGAGAAGCGGGGCCGGGTGTCTGGCGTCCTTTCCCTGGGAGACGCGGGGCCCGGGGCTGGGGATGCCGAGAGTGACAGGCGAGGTCCCTGGCCCCGAAGAAGTGACGCATCCGGGGGTGGGGGTGGGGTGTGAAGAAATAAAGGCAGTAAACTGGGCACGGTGGCGCACGCCTGTAATCCCAGCCCTCGGGAGGCTGAGGCAGGAGGATCGTTGCGAGTTCGAGACCAGCCTGGGCTACAAACTGCATAGCGAGACCCTGTCTCAAACACACACACACACACACACACACACACACACACACACACACACAGGCAATAGTTGGGCGCTGCCTGAGTTCGAGGCCGGCCGGGCTACGCCGTGGGGCAGTCGTGCGGGGCGGCACAGCGCAGGTCTCTGACCTGGAGCCGGGCACCAACGCTGTTACGCCCAGCGTGACCGCGCAGCCTGGCTGTCAGCGCCTCACCTCCGCGCTGAAATCCAGGAAACTCGTTCACAGGCAGCCGCGCCCCAGCCCGGCCCTCGCACCCCACCTCCCCTGGCGCCCCCGCCCTGCCCCCGCCGAGGCTCACCGAGCACTTGATGTTCATGCGGGAGTACAGCATGGACGCGATCTCGCTCTGCCCCGCGTCGAGCGCCACCATGAGCGCGGTGCTCCCGTCCTGCGAAGGAGCCGTGGCTAGGCGGGAGCCCGACCCCGAGCGTCTGCCCTCCCCCGCGTGGGCGCAGGGACTCACGCGGTCCGTGAGCGAGATGTCGCAGCTGGGCACCGCCAGCAGCAGCCCCGCGATCTCCTTGTGGCCGTGCTCACAGGCGCACATGAGGGCCGTGGAGCCGTCCTCGTCCTGTACGTTGACGTCCACCTCACAGGCCAGCAAGGCTTTGACCACGTCCACCCGGCCATGGCTGACGGCCAGCATCAGGGCTGTCTGCCCCGCCTAGGCAGAGCAAGGAATGTTGTTACCGCCCGCACAGATGCCAGGGTGTGATGCCCCTGCTCCCCAACAGTCCATGACTCCCAAGTACCCTGATGCTGGCATGCCGCCACTTGCTGGATTGCAAACAACTTTCTCACCCCTGGGCCTTTGCACTTGCTGGTCCTCTTCCTCCTCTGGGCTCCTTCCCTCCCTCCTTCCTCCCTCCCTCCTTTCCTCCTTCTCTTTCTTTTTTGGTTTTGTTTCTCGAGGCAGGGTCTTGTTATGTAGCCCAAGCTGGCCTGGAGTTCACTGTGACTCTCTTGCCTCAGCCTCTGAGTCCCATTATTAAGGGTGTGCACCACCAGGCCCATGTACTATTTTTCTTTTTAATTGTTTAATTTTGATTTTCTCCTCCCTTCCTTTCCTTTCTTTTGCAATATTGGGGACTGAACCCAGGGCCATCACATTGAGCTACATCCTCATCCTCACCCTTTCTGTATTTTTTTATGTTGAGACAGGACTAAGTTGCTAAACTGCCCAGGCGGCCTTGAACTCACTATGTAACCCAGGCTGGCCTTGAACTTGCGGCAATCCTCCTGCCTCAGCCTCCTGAGTGCTGGGATTACAGGTGTGCGCCACCATGCCTGGCAATTTTTTTTTCTGTTTACTTCACTGGCTTCTTATCACTCAGGTATCAGTTGAATGTCTCCTCCTCAGACGGGCTCTGCCTTGCCTATACCCTCCATCCCTAATCATCTACAGCAGGTTCTTCACTCCCTGGGGTACACTTTATTATCCAACTAAGACCAACAGTTAAATAACTGTCCATCGGGGGATAAACGAATAACATACAATGTGGTCTATCCACACAATGGAATATTATTCAGCCATGAAAAGGAATATTATTCAGTATCCTGAATAACAGGCTTTGAAAACGTTACACTGAGTGAAGGAAGCCAGACACAGGAGCTCACATGTTGCACATGGACATCCTTTGGTGCCTGCAGATGACCCGTTCCAGAACACCTGGCAGATACTAACCTCCCTGGAGGCTCGAGTCCCTGGTGTACCCTGGTACATTTTGCACAGAACCTGTGTCCATCCTGCTCTAGGCTAACTCATCTCTGGATGACTAACACCTGAGACGAGCCAGGTGTGGTGGCGCCTGACTGTAATCCTCAGGCGGCTGAGGCAGGAGGATCCTGTGAGTTCAAGGCCAGCCTGGACTACACAGTGGGCTGAAGTCCAGCCTGGGTTATACAGACAGACCCTGTCTCAAAAAATTAAAAAAAAAAAAAATCTGGCGAGCTGAGCATAATCCCACTTATATGAAATGTCCTAAGTAAGTCCACCGGGCAGAAACTCTGGGGGTGAGGAGAATGTCCTCAAAGGGGTCAGAGGTGGCGGCTGCACAGTACAAGTGCACCGAGTGCCACCGGATGCTTCACGCTTAAAGGGTGGAGTCAGCGCCTGCCTGGCAAGCACGAGGTCATGAGTTCGATTCCCAGTACCAGAAAAAAGCCAAAAAA